AATTCCTTTAAGGGGGGTTCTATGGGGAATTATATCGGGGAGTATTATAGGGCTTACTTAACGGGATACCAGGAGTTACCCTAAACCCTAAACCCATTGGATTTTGGGAGCTATGCGAGGCAAGACAAGTCAGGTAGGATCAACAAAACTATAATCCTCTCTCTGAGCACAGCCCACACATTTGGGGGTTTCCCAAAATTAGGGGTGGGGAAAAAAACGGCTCACTCTTAATGCTCCTGACCCTCAAGCCTCCCTACAGGACCTCCCTCCTAAGCGCTGCATGGGGTCCCTATAACAAGGATTCTTGTGGGAAACTACCACGAATACAGACACGTACAGACTTTATGCGTTGATGATGGGAATCCCTCTTCAGAATCGCATGAAGGGCCTTGTCTGGGGAAAAACTGACATATCACCAAATACCCTGGCAAGCTAAACACAAGATCCTAAACCCCAAAACATCTAGACCAAATCCTCTAAACCCCTTCAACCTCTAAAGTCTCAAACCTCTCAACCCCTAAAACCCCCCAAAATCCTCCAAGTCCCACAGCTGTGCCTCCTCGAGTAGCCGCAGGGCGGTCTCCAACCGCCCTGTGGCTGCAGCCGCCACAGCAAGGGAACTGCGGGCCTATCATTCAACCCTTTTGTGGGTACTAGGGAGGGGGTTTAGGGTTTAGGGTTTCGGGCTCCTGAAATTTTTGGACAGGGGCTTCTAGAAATACAGGAGGGTATAATGTTTAAGGGTTTTTAGGGCTTTAGGAGTTTAGGGATGGAAGCGTGTCAAACCGGGGGGTACCCTGTGGACCCTCATTCTCAAGTAGATTTTAAGGATCCTGTTCAGAATTTTATCAGTGTTGGAGCTCTGGGCTTTACATAGGGTTCCAGGTCTGCGGTTTTGGCTAGCTGTCAGGGGACCACGAAGCGGTCCGTGGGCCTGTGGACTGGGACCTAGGGAGATTTGTAGCATGAAGGGGTGATGGAAAGGAGAAAGGATCTAGCTGTATATGTGAGGGCAGTGAGGAAGAGGTCACGGATCATCGCAGCAAGCACAGAAGAAGCGAAGTGGCTTCTCAGTCTTTCTTCTTACTGCGGGCTAGTGACGGCTAGTGAGGAATAAGGGAAAATATTCCCATTTATGCCCTTATTCCCTACTAACCCCTGTAAGTCTTGGGTGTGGAGCTCTTAGGGGTTTGGGTTGTTGAGTGTGGTATTCGGGGCTCAAAAAAACCTTGAACGTCCAAGGCGTTTAAATTCGGAGGTGTCCTACTAAGTACGCAACCAACCAAACTATCAGAGTTGCCAAGTTGCACAAACTGAGGGGCATAAATGTTAGTTTGTATAAAGGTCAAAGGGCCCAAGGGTCCGCCGCTTGAGATTCCCGACTCATGTGCGGACCCTGCACAAGGGCTGCTTTGACTAATCCTCAGGCCTATCCCCCGAAAGGACCCACAAATGTTAAACAGTACATGACACCACCCACTCCCCAAACATCTCTGTCAACCTACCGACGAAAAGGGAAAATTACCTTTGGAACCCTCAGTAACAACTGGCCTCTAGCGATGTCAGGCAAGAACTATCGGAGCGGAGCAGTTCCTGCAAATAGCTCTTGAGGTATAACCACGGGCTGAACCCCCAAGAACATCTTGCTGCATTCTGACAGACTACCAAGAGGGCTAGTGGGCGCGGCAAGAGGGTGGGCAAGATTAGTTAAGAGTTCGTGAAGCAAATCTGAGCGGAAAGGTGCAGCCCATGGTTCCTATGCAGCGGATGGCGGATGTGTCGGCTGAAAGCAGCGGAATGATAAGCCTCATCTCTGGCCAGAAGCGCCAAACCAATCCTAGAAGACCCAAGAAGGCTTCAGGAACAAAACTTGAATACATATGATGCGATTTTGGTACTATTTGGACAAAGCCTTTACCATGGGGGTGGGAGTATTTTACTAAGGGGGGAAAAAGGGAGGCAACAACCCCACGAAAACCAAGCAGTCCTCTGCCACTGCCCAAGCGCTGGCTACCTCAGACATATACGAAGAAGCGTGCTCTTGATTGCAGAGTTTGGCATATTCCTCTGTAAGTGGAAAGAGATTTCACACGGCATCCCAAACTGTGCCTACAGAGATCATTGTTTCCACAGCATACTCACTAGCGTTCAAACGGTCATGGAATGCAGGCTGCCCCTGCAACCTGCGACGTCTGTATGCGCACATGGTTCGACTGAGTGGCCGCAAGTCTCTTCTTTGCAGGGTTTGCGCATGCAGGTCGTATCCATATCTGCGCCCTCTATCCATACCTTCATCTATATCTGAATGTGCTTGTGTATACACATAAATATTTCGTGTTACGCCCTACCATGCCCATGAAACCGACAGGAGTGCACCCCCAAGAAAGGCCCTACTTCTTGAGGCTTGCTTGGAGGGTCAGGGGGCGGGGTTTAACGACGATAAGTAATAAGGATAGGACAGCTGTTGTTGTAATACAAATAAATGAAGTAACAGTAAGAATACTGGTAGTAAGAATAAGAACAATAATACATGACTGGAATAATACATGACGGTAGCAATAAAAACAGTCATAAGAATAAGAAGAACACTAGTAATGGTAGCATACGTACTATACATACCAAGCTCCCCTGACCCTATGCCCTATAAACCCTGAACCATCCAAGTGGGGGTTCGGGGCCGCCTCTCCATCTGTGAGGAAATGCTGCAGGGAGCGAAGGGTTGGCGCCTGGGCTTCGCTGGCACTTGAAGACATTGAAGTCTCCCAAAATAAGGCGTACTTTTGTACATCCCCATGGTACGGCTCATAATATTTTGGTGTCTATATTGGGGTCCCCCTAGTTGGGGAAGCAACCACATGCCTCACCTCAAATGAATGCTTAACTAGCCGAAATCTGACGTCAACAACAGGAACAGGAGCCCAACCCAGACGGTGTACCGCCCCCGAACCCGACATCCATGATGAAAAGCCCAAACCAAAAAATCGCTAGAATTCTCAATGTGAGCTATAGTCTAAACTCCTAGCATCCTCCGAAATAAGCCCTCAAATACTTCCCTATATACCCCCCTTATGACACCCTTTAAGGAGTTGCCGCCGATAGGCGCCACATATCCGGCACAGGCATTGGCCGAGGTTGCGGAACATGGCTTCATGGACAGCTCTGAACCAGGACCCTCCCTGTACCCTTGAAATAGGGGGTATATGGGAGTTTCCCAAAATTAGGTGTACCTGTTTGGGGGTCCCCATATTAAGGATTAATAGTATTTTGGGGTTTATGTTGGGGTACCCAAATTTTGGGAAAGTACCATATGGTCCCTGATTAGGGTACATAGAGGGTAGGTGGAGGATCTAGGAACTTAGGGGGGCCTGAGAAATTGTTGGATATTGTTAGTCATAGTTTTGCATTATCAGGTAGCGCACCACATGTGTATAACAACAAGGGCTCCAAATACACAGGGAAGCAGATTATTGAGGTCTCAGCCTTGTACATTCACACGTGGGGGCAAAGTTTTTAGGGTTTACGGTTTAGGGTTGTAGATATAAAGGATCCCGGGCGAATAGTGACAGTAGTGCTGGACACCTTTGTGGCTTGATGCAGGGCGATTGCGCTCTGTCTGACAAGTACGTAAAACTCAGCGCACGAATCATCTGACTGTCCATGATCGATGGTCAGACTCTTCCGCGGAAGGTGCTTGATCCGTAATGTAGGAATGTAGAAGCCCAAACAAACAATAGCAGCATTTCCTTCTTGCCATGAAATGACTATAGCATCGATTACGTAATAACTAACTGTTTAGCCAAAGGATTCCGCATTGCCAGTGGAATGAATCTTCAACGTCGTCGGTTCAGCTGCAAACACGGTGCTCCTCATATATCCCTACATGGCCCACAGCGCCCTTTCAAAGCCCAGTCTCAGATTCTGAAGCGACTTAATGATGTTGTGTAGTTTCCATGCAAAACTACTGGTCCCACCCTTGTACCCCAAGTTATGGTACTAAGCGCTCTCTACAGGACAAGATGGCCCCCAAAGGGCCACAGCATTGAGAAGAATCCGAGAATGAAGTTGGGCTTTGCAGTTCTGAAGGAAAATGGTAATACGAGCAGGATGCTTTGCGCAGCTCGTGGAACTGAACTCCAAACTGCCCTGTGCCCCATTCTGCTGTGCCTTTCAAGAAGTATAATATAGTATAGTATATAATATACGTATGTTATACTATAGTATACTATATTACAATATAATATACTATAATATACTGTATTAGTTACGGTATATTATACTATACAAAGCTATATTCTAATATTGCTCGGCTTCTACCGGTATGCGTCAAGCCAAGCTTATTACGCATAAGTCTCGACAATTCCTCGCTGGGCTTCCTCAGCAAATGTTGAGGGATTGAGGGATCCCACGATGACGAAGAGCCCCAATACAAATCACTGGACTGGAGATGCCAACCAAAAGAGACACTTTTGAAGAATGGTCAGTGGGGCAACACCTGCACTGATTTGACCCAGGGCCTGTATGTGCCAACATTACTGTCTCTAATTTTAGAAGCACACTAAACTACTACTCGGAGCCCCACAATGTCAGAACCCTTACTTAGCAAACATCAGGTTGGCACATTCCCACATTGAATCCCTTCCTCCTGATAAACCACCCCACCAATCAACAGTCCACTGAACACATAATTGTGCTACTGGGCCATGGGGCGGAGGGTGGTGCTTGTTATTGGGGGGAGGTCATTGCGCAATGATGCTTCCACAGCCCTGCGAGGCTAAAACTTTATTCACGTAAGCCTTTTCCTTTGAACACCTCGACAGGACAGTGAGGTCTAGATTGCTGCAGGCACCTAGGACTTAGAGTGTAGGCTTAGGGTTTGCGGCTTTCCTGGACCCCAAGGCCCAAAACATCTAAGAATAGTCCAAAAGGCCATTATTCTACATACCTTTGGGGTTCAGGTAGGGAAGACCCCAGTGTACCTGGACACTGACCGGGGCCCCGGCGTCCAATGGTTGTTGCCATCTGGGGCCGCGGTGCCGGCGAGGTAACGGCAAACTTGCTGTCCTGGCCCTATGCTAGGCCTCCCAAGCTAACCACCGTGACTCTACGCCTTGAACCCTTCGCCCGACTAATTCACAGGCTATGTATGGCAATCAAATCAAGCATGATACCATCGCAAGTGCTCGCAGCCCACTCATACAACGAAACTATGTTTGCATCCCAGATGGAGTTTGGGGAGATTGCCTTGTATACTCCCACTAAAGCATATGACTCTCCCTTGCTCTAAGTATACCAAAAAGGGGCCCTCGGAGTTGGGAAAGTGCCAAAGATGTGTTTGTACCAGCGGCCTGAGTTAGAGAAAAACCCTGCCACTGATGGCTGGATATGCATACTTTGGGTACTGCACCCACCCATTAGCAGTCTATATAAGGAGTCATATTAGAGGCTATGTCTAAATCTTATGCAACTGTGACAGAGTGGGGGCAATCTCCAATATATGCCGTGGTACACTTGCAAGTGTGCAAGCGCTGATCGTAGGCTGCAAGGGGTTCTGATAAAGACCAGGATATAGCTCATGGCCCATGGCTACACGTGTATATGTATATATACATATATAGAGGAGGCATGGAAAAGAAACGTGGAAACAACTACATTATGATCGGGTATACATCAGAACTCTTTAGGTGTATATTGCAAGAATAATGATGCTGGTGCTACCATCTCGGCCGCTGAAAGAAGCGCGGATCACTAATGACCAATGCAAAAAAACGATGCCGTATTCGTGATGATTGATTGCGACATCGATGAAACAACGATGCCCCATACTTGTTTGGCTTATAAGAGAACTCGCAAAACGATGCCGACCTAGCAGGCGTACTCCATCCTGTGCAAATAATACCTAATAATAGCTCATTTTGAACAGCCAACAGTACTCCCGTAGAACTCTTAGTATGGACCCTCCTCCCAATAGGCCTTTTGCAGGCCCTATATATCACTAGGGTCCCCCAGACTCTCGATTTTGAGAGGCAGTGGTCCTCGTCCATGTCTCGGTACTTGCGCCGGAAGAGCCATTGGCAGCACCTATGCCAAGGTAAAACTCAAACTCCAGTTCAGACCAACGATTGCTAAGTGACTTTTGAAAACTAGAATACCATGAAAATGGGAAAGGTATGAGGCACTTTTTGTCCCCCTTAAGTAGATAGAATATGGGGTTTTTGGAGATCTTATGAAAAAAACCAAAGCCGTATTCTATCTACTTAAGGGGGACTTTTGGGTCTTGCAACAGTTTCAGTATGGTAGTTTCCCCAAAACAAAGGGACCCCAATCTAGACCCCAAAATACTAGAATCCTTTTTATTGGGACCCCTGAAAATGGTACCCCCTAATTTGGGGAAACCCCCCCTTTCAGCCGTATTGCGGGGTTTAGGGACAGGCGGGGTTTAGGGACAAGCCTGTAAGGCTTGGTGTTCCAGGACGTGCCTGGGGGCATCCTGGGTGTCTATACTTCTTATAGACAACATTCCCTATGTAGGGAATATATTGGGGTTATATAAAGATAATGGAAAAGAACATGGGAACTACTAAATAGTCCATGAAGGGAGAGTATCATACATTATTCACTATGTAAACCTCAATTTCCATGAACATGTCTATGTCCTTGGCCATTTGATTTTGATTCTCCCAAAATCCCCAAACCATAAACCCTAAACAGCAATTTCCATTTCCTCTTGCATTCTCTTCTAGAATCCCTTGTATGCACTTCGTTTAGGATTGTTGCCGGGAATTCCATATTCTATCTACTTTAAGGCATTATAGGCATTAGAAGCCATGACTACTTTGAGGGCCCTGGAGTTACGTAACGCATCCCATACCCTAAGAAGCCAATTTCAACCACACTGTAACCCAGTATAAGTAGGTTCCCTAACTTCGGGAACCTACTTATTATATTTTCCAGTAAAGTTAATTGACACTTGCGTAACTCCAGAGATCCATTATAGACAGGTTCCCTAACTTAGGGAACCTGCTTGTAAAGGCTCACGGTTTCGTTAACCGTTAACGAACACATTAGCAAGGCCAGGGACCCTCAAAGTACCATGAGTAATGATGGCTGTTTGTTCTATAATACTGTGGTTGCCCTAAATCCTAAACCTTCTATAATACTGTGGTTACCCTAAACCCTGAACCCTATTCCCTTCCTTGCACCAGCCTCATCCTTTGCCGAAGCTGCAAACAGATCTGTGTATGAAGGATCCAGATAGGACCGAGAAGGCCATGGCGCCACAACCCACGTGAGTACGTTTTTTGCCGGTTGAACCACCTAAGATGATGTTCTCCACATGAGATACTATACCCCAAAAAGAGGAAATGCTCTTACGCTATTTTGGGAGCTAATTTGCACCCAGAAATAATTTCCTACTCATGTGAAAGCCTGCAAATGCAACATACATGCGTTGATACATCCGCAGTATGGAAGTTTTTCGACATGATCCCACTGTAATCCCAAATCATGGCCCCTGTATCCCTAGGACCCCCCCAGCTTTCAAACCCTCCCAGTTGAACCGTGTCAGCGCTTCAGGCTGACTCCGGTGGGGCTAGTGTATAGTCCCCCTGAAGTAGATAGAATATGGTTTTGGGTATCTTATAATAAGATCCCCATATACCCCATATTCTATCTACTTAAGGGGGACTATAAGTAAAGGGAGGGCCGTGAGTGCTAGCCATGGTCAGAGCTTGTTCCAATGTTGTTCTCTAAGTTCGTGGAAGCTGAGAGCAAACGGTTGGATGGATCCCAAAAGGGTTTCCAAAGTTAGGGCTCCTGTTCTTCTGGCAAGGGGAGCTCTAGAATCATGACTATAGCTACGATATATTGCGGCATGTAACGCAGGGTTCCCCCATTTATGCAACCTCAATCGCGCACTCGCTGGTTCCCCTTCTTTGGGAGGCAATTAAGCTTTTGATGCGCCTGACTTGGATTCCACACGGCCTAGAAGCACCCAGCAGGTCCATCCACCTGATTCTTCAGATCGCCTGATGAATCTGTTTTGATTCTGGACTAGCAGGGCTGTAACGCCAATGTAGGGCTTGCTGTAGATGTGTTTTGGCACATTTCTTGCGAGGCAAAAAAACGCAGCACACAAACCTTTCAAAACACAAAAATGCTCCTTAAACGCACCAATCATCATAGTACACAAAGAAAACAACTACTCTACCACAAGGCGCTGGGAATGCACTGGGTGAAGATCAATATCGTGGTGTTCAGCAGGCGTAATCATGGTCACAGGGTTTTGATGCTGACCCTAGGAGCCTAGGAGCCCATGATTTCCCCGGAGGATCATGCAAGACTTGGATCTAAGGCCTTCAACTAATCAAGGTACGGTACGGGCGTGAAGTGTCAGGAAGGCAGTTCTTCAGATTGGTTATAATGACACGGTTGTATGACTATACAAGGACGGGCTGCAGCGATACCGAGGACTAATTACAGCTCCACGAGCTAAAGCGTCTTGTAAAGGGACTCTGATGGATACCCAAAACAGGGGACCCCAAACAGGGAACCCCAATAATATAAATAGCCGGCATATGATAAGAATACACCTAACAGGGTCCTGACATTCCCACTATATTTTGTTTTTTTCTGTGTAGCGTCACCATTAGAATACTTTTACCGTCGAGATTTTTTTGACCTGCCGAGTCTCTTCAGCGGTCCTGCCTCAAACTTACTCATGCTTAGCCCCTAAAATATCCCCAACAATGACCCCGTGCAATAGTCCCTAGAACCCAGTTTCCCATTCCCAACTAAGCATGAGTAAGCAAACTGCCCTCCAGGGCAGCCCTAGAATCCGTCCTTTGCCATTGCAGCTGGGCCGATTTCCATCTTACCCTTCGGCCCATGTGTTGACACCTGCACAAACTTCTTTTGGGGAAATCCGCATGTATTTTGCTGCAGCACAACACTGCTGGCTGTATGACTCTTGCCCTTACGAACCAGCTCAGCAAAGATGACTCTAGCCCCCGAGCCGTTGCTCGGACGGGAGGCCAGGCCAGTAACGCTCCACCTTTCAAGAACGTGACCCAAAAGCTGGAACGGCAGAGTCTCAATGGACCTCAGCGTTTGAGAAAATGCAATCTTGGCCGCCGCATGGTGCACAGACGAGATTTCATTCATTGCCAACCATAACAGTAGGCTCAAGCAAATGCTTCCCAGCATCCCGTTCAGTTCCGGACTTCCAGGAACACAGTTCCAGCATTGCCGACCACTGTGGCCCAACCTCATATGGCCCGCTTGGTTGTCAAGCACCACACAAAAAGTTCAGTGGGACTGAATCTGCACCGGAACCTGCGCAAAAACCCAACCTCTAGCTGCTTCTTGGGCGGATGACAATAA